TGCCCAGCGAGCGCAAAGGTATGTTCAAAGTTATTCGACAAATTAAGAACAATGTAAGCCTAATTTATGAACATACAAGGATATAAGCCTATTTCTAAACTTTGTATGGTGATAAAAGCACTAAATATCCGCCCTTCTGATTTATGAATGTAACTTAAGATAATTTAACTAATGTTGAGTTCAATATTGGTCCTCTCAGTGAACTCACGGGAAGACCTCCGGGATATTTTAGTTAAGTTTTTAGTTGTTTAAATTAGTACATAAGTTTTTAGTTGTTTAAATTCGATCTTATTTTTTTTACATAAGTTTTTAGTTGTTTAAATTCGATCTTATTTTTTTTCAATGTTTTTGGCCTTAAATAGAAGAAGTAGTTTAGAAGAAACGGAGGGTAGCTGTTTACTACTAAACTGACTGCTGTAATCAGAATTATAAGGTCTTCACTTTGAAAAGATTGAACTTCATATAAACTCTATTCTTATGAGTTGAAGCCACAAAAAGCATTTAATTAGAACTCAAAAAATGGATCTTACTATTTTTCAGCTTCGAAAAAAGTTTTCTTTTGTGAGAAAAAACAACAAAGTGGAGTCTTGTCCTCCAAGTGCTCTATATGGAACAAATTCGAGGAAGATTCTGGCAAAGCATCTGGGAGAAACAAGGGTAATTCCTTTTATGATATTTTCGCAGCTTTTGCCCTAATCAGAGTTAAAGGATTTCTTTTTAAATCAGGAGTCACCACAAAAGAGCTTGTCCAGAACATTTTTTTTACAAACCAGGTTTTTCAGAGCAGACTGACGGAACTTTTTTGTTCATTAGGAAACAAGCCATTATGTCTATTAACTGGTGATTTTTGTATTGAACCTTCTGTCCATAACTAAGCACGAGTTGTCCGATAACTTAGCTTGAAAATTAAAATTTTTCATTATCACTGATGAAAAACTAATAAAATTTCGCGTTGCAAAATTTAAAATGTAATAAGTTCTGATGCATTGATTATTAAATACAAAAGTCTTGTCAATTGAATCTGGCATTCTTCCTCATAAACATGTTGTAAATTATCAAAATATCACAGTGTTGAATTATTGAACGTATTGGCCATCTGTCTAAATTTTATGACAACAAGTTTTGGTGTTTCACATTTTGATTATTAAATCTGACAACTTTAAAATAGAGCATGAGCTTGACAGTCGAGGTTAACTTTAAGATGATTTTATGTTTGAAAAATACACAAAAAATTCTTAAAAAAACTGCTAAAAAACTGGTAATGGGTGTTTGAAAACTAATGCGCGTTATGTTGATTTTGTACAGCAACTGTCTGCGGCAAATAAATATTTCCAAGTTGATACGAAACGATAAAGACTCTGCATACTAAAACGCATATGGGGAATATAAGGGAAACTAAAATTTTTAATTTTTTTAAAACGTTTTAACAGGTTTTCAAAGCACAATCTTCTACTTCAGTCTTAAGTGGCAGCCTGAACATTCACAGTTTTGGCCCTGATAGAAAAGTAGTATTTTTTTTACTTAACTGTTTTGACTTAATTGTCTCTCGTTCTACAAAAAAAAGGTGCCACAAATGTTCATCGGAGTGGGCTGAGTGATCAATCATACTTAAAAACTTCGAATTGTGATTGCAATGAGTTTTTAAAATTTTCAATGAGCTTTCTCAATTTTGAGAAAAACTCGTTTTTTGGTGTTTTTTTTTTATTACAAAAGTCAGCGAACAGGCTTATTTTTTTGTCAGCCAAATTAGTTGCCACAAACAATTATCTGATTGAGTGAATTGTTATATCATATTGACGCCTCTTTACCACTGATTCAATTGCTACTGAAAAAACTCAAAAAGTCGTCTTTCTTCAAGCGCCGTCCTGAGAATTAAGCAAAATGTTTAAAATTAAAAAACTAATAATTATTTTCTTTTTGTCATCTTTTACAGAAGGTGCCGCCCAAATTGTTTATGTTAATGTTGCTGTCAAATTGGTCCAAATTCTAGGCTTTTGTTTGATCCTTTCATCACACCAAGCACTAAAATCGACGCTAATTGATGAAAAAAAAACTTTTTTCTTTTGTTTTCAACTATATGTCGAATCACTATCTGCTTCTTTCACAGCAACCGGCCTTCCTTGTTTTGTTTTGTTTATGAACGAACTCGAAAATGAGAGGAAACTTTCAATTGTTATAGGCAGTCTCGGCAGAGATTGAAACAATACTGACCTCCCGCCTAATAAGGCTTGCTAGATACAATGATTCCTTCCTGTGAAACCGCACCGCCAGTTTAACCCATATCCCATTAGTCAAGAGTTTTTGGACTACCCGTTGTTTTACAGCGCTTCCAATTGCTGTGGGACATCATTATACATTATACAAGTATTTGGAGAAAAGGATCGTTTTTTTTTGCGACAATATAGATATCTCAACCAATTGAAAAATCTGGTTTGAAAAAATTCAGATTTAGACTGTTCAACGAAACCACCCCATCTGATTAACTTTTCTTTTCATTTTACCTTAAACACTTTTTTGTCTAAGAAGCTGTTAGTTGTCCAATTGGGAAGTTTTTAAACATAACGTTTCTGCGCCAATATGAACATAACGAACATTTTAAAATTCATTTTCTTAGTTATTAAATATTTTTGTTGATGCCTCAAATGAAAGTATATTACATTCTATTTTTGTTATTTTTTTCTTTCAAATAGTCTAATTAAATACTTTTTTGTGAATCCTAATTCGTTTAGACAAAAACTATGTCCTTCTAAATACATGATTGTATACATTGAAAACAAATTAAGCTGTCATACGTTGATTACAATGTAACAAATTCTCGAAATATTATACAAGTTATTTGATTCAGATGTGTTTTGATGCCTATCATTTTTGAATAAAATCTTATCAAGTCTTTTTAGAGATATTTGCAATATAGGTGTCAAACAGACATATTAGTCCTGTTTTATTTCAGTCCAAAAATAGTTTTCAAATTGTTTCACTTGATTACTTCTGCAAACTTCAAGCTCATACGTGTTACAAGATCTAAATTTCTTTTAGAAAGCGTGGCAGTTGTCAGATCACCATAATAATTGAAATAATTTCGAAACAACTTTATTTTGAGATATAAAAAAAGTAGAAAGCTCATTGTATGATTTTGGGCAATCAGCCATCGTAACGGTTTGTTTAAGGTTGCAATCAACCAGCTGATAGATCCACATGGCGTTAGTTCTACTAAAAAAGCGCCCAACAGAAGCCGGAATTTTGTCATTTCAAATAAGGTAAGTATACAATCAGTTTTGCATGATAATGAATTTAAAAAATACATACAATTTAATCAAGACTTCAGAAATGTTCAGTTGTTTGGAATAATAACTCAATGAACATATCCTTGACACAAATTCCTGAAGAAAAAAGAAAGAAAAATGGACAATTTTCTACTTAATTGTATATAAAAAAATTGATTATATAAATGTCAAGGTTTTTTTTGTATAATTACAAAAAATAGGTTGAAAAGAGGCCCTGTCCATTTTTTTCATCAGTGTTTAGATTTTTATCTTTATCTGCAAATTGTGAACACAATAACAAGTGAAAAATAAAACGACAAGGTGAAAAAAATTGAAATTCAAAGATATCTTTGTGACTACGCTTAGAACTTTTTTCCATTATAACATGATATTTTCTAAAATTTATAGTCAGCAGATGAGACAGTTGAATAGTTATTTTTACTACGCATGTAGGTGAGTTTGGCTGTTTGATTAGTTTTCTTGTGTATATGATGCGTGTCTTTATTCAGTTGACAGGACGCTTTATAGACGCCAAGAGACCCGAAACTCTTTCAATTACTGCAGAGGACGACAAGTGGCATACATTCCAAATAAGAATTACATCAAAAGAACAAGCTGTCAAAATCATGAAGAAAAATGGCAAACCTGCTATCACGGTTGAATTCCCTCGAGGGTGTGTAATTGGTGAAAGAGTTATCTCAATGGAGTTCCTTGGAGTACGAGACAAGTACTTCGAAATACAAAAGGACAAAAAGCTCGCGAACTCTCGAGGTTCAACCGGTGTTCCCACATGTGAACGAAAAGGTAAAATGCTAACAGATATTCTTCGCTTAATACAGCCGACTGACTGCGAGTTTCTACGCCCTGTCAAAGTGAGTTTTCCATTCTCGAAAACCCAAAAGCATGAATTTCTAAGACATGAGTTTAATCGAGAGAGTCTTCAAAAGCGCATCGTCATCGTTCATTCGGGAGCTGTCGAAATCAACACAACTGTATTTTCTGATAGTGGTTTGTTCCTGGACATCAATGATTCGGTAGGTTTTTTGTTTCCATAGATTTAACTTTAGTTCGTTTAAGAAAAAAATGAAGAAAAGTCATATCACAGAAGTACAAGCAAATTTCCTAATGTTTGAGATTTTCATCTAATTTTTCCCAATTAAAGTTATCTTTCAGCACTTTCATTACTTTAAAGTTTAATTTTACAAGGTTGTGGCTGCTCTTGGCGTCAGATCAAAAGCAGGTGAATTCTTCACCGCGAATGACGTTTATTTGAAGGTTATTCAAGATAACACACAAGCTGTCACTGGTAACGAGTTTGATCTCAAGATATCGTGTGGGAAATTTGAAGAAGAATTGGATCGTAAATCTTATCTGCGAAATTCTAACAAGTTTTATACAAAACTTGACAATATACAAAATGCAGAGATGTTCAGAGCGGAACTAGAAGGTAATTTTTTTTATTATTTAGCCGTACGCCAAAAAAGAAATAAATGCTGTAAATTTGGCTGTAAACAGCAACTAACTAGCAGAAACGTTTTTAAAATAGATGAGCGAAATGCTTTGACAAAATGACATCAATGACCAAATTTCATCAATACAAAATTGTGTCTGAACTCTTTTCATTTTTCAGAGAAAAAATTACATAAATGTTTTGGAAGCATTAGATGGAGAACTCTGTGTAATTTTTCGTTTTTAGTTATTTTGAAAAGCGGATCATGCGCTGGGTAAAACATATTTAGATGTCAAAATTAAGACATAACTTTTGAGAACTTTAATGACATTTTGAGGCAGGGAAATAAGTGACAGAATTAATTAAACAAACAGTTCATTTGGAAACTACTTTCGATTTGACTAATAATAGGTTAAACTTAATAACTTTTAATAACTTTGATAGCTGCAAACTGTATCCACACTTGTACTGAATTGAAAAAAAATCTTAATTTAAGCCATTGGTCCATTCCTTCTCGACAAAGGATGCAAGAAGCGAGAAGTTGAAATGTTGTTCAAAAACAGCATATTCAGAGAAGTTGACCTGCAATGCCATTTTGTAGCAAATACTTTCCCCAAGCCTATATTAAAAGTGAAATCTAGCGCTTTTGGGGGTGCAAAAGAAGTAAAATTTGAACTACTCAACCAAAAACAACTAGATTCATTGAAGGACCAGCAACCGCTCCCCATGCCAAGTGTCTTTGCCGACGCTCTGACACGTATTGGTTCCCAATGGATACCCTTCCTCCAAGAAAACAAATTTGTTGAGGCTAAAGAATGTCTAGTCAACTTCATATTGGATGACATTTTGAGCGAACTTGAAAACATCAAAAGTCCTCTTACTTCGTCGCAAGAAACAGAGCTCAAGCAGTGCGTTCAACGTAACGTCAATAATCTCACAGAGGAGAAAATTAAACCCAATTTCTTCGAAGCTGTCAATATGGGACCAAAGTCGTCTGCCCTAACGCATGAAAATTTCTATAAACTGGCTGTTTGTTTGATGTACTCGCCACAACAAGTACTACAAACTGCATTTAAAAGGTGTTTCGAACAAAAACAAACATATAGGCTCAATGAAAATGACTTTCCCAAGTCGTTCTTGATCTGGCTCGGAATTGAAAACAAGGACAATCAAGAACCAATGGAAATTGTTTGCTCGACTTCGGCACAATGAGAAGGCTAACGGTTGCCTTTAAACCCAATCTACATCAAAATTTCATCAAAACTTCAAATTTGGTTATTTTTCCTCACAAACCCCCCCCCCCCCCTCCACCCCCCCCCCCAATTCTCTCAAACATGAATTTTATGGTCTAACGAGTGGCTTTACGAGGTTAATTATAAAGACTAAATATGTTTGTCATGGCCTAATTAGTGTGCATGTCAATTTTCACGAAAATCGGACAAAGTGAACAAATAAGAATTTGCAGGTGGGGGAAAAGAATTGGATCCTCAAATTCGATTAGATTTTGTATTTGGCATACGTACAGTTTTATAGATAAAGGTGATTTAAATAACTCATCGAAACAATAAAATTGACTAAATTAGAGTGAATTATTTGTGATGCTGTTTTTTCATAGTCTGATTGTTTTGCCCATCTACACCAAGTGGGATATAGAATTGTTATAAAGAGTTGATGGACGAGCAAAGACATGGGTGATTGGGTGATGACATTAAAAATTTGATTGATAGGAGGGAATAGTCTATGCGTGCTGCATTTTTTCTAACTTGATGCTGCAATGTGGGTGTATTTTAATGGTACACATAAAAACCGCTTGAGCATGCATAAAGCACAAAAGAACATTGGCTAAGTCCTATAAAAACTGTGTCTTTTTCAAGGTTTTTTTACAGCGCTGAGCACCTTGCATTTGAAAAAATTGGTTCATGTTCTACAATTTTAAACTTAGCGTGAAAAAATCGTTTATAAAACTTTAATTGTAATTGTCATTACATACGTTCCAATTTTTGCCCGCATACTACATATAGATTGATATTTGCCCATCAAACGACTCAGCTTTAAATAATAATGCGACATTCTTAAATTATTGAGAAGCAAAGCATAACTACTGATTAAAAAAATGATGATAATTTTTACCTGATAAAGAATTGTGCATTTTGTAAATAGCGTGTAAATTGAGTTGTGAAGTTTGTAGATATAAATACAAAATTATCTTTCTTCGAACCTAATTCAAAACTTAGAAAAACCAATATATCTTTTCGCAACTCCAAAGTTGAACTTCCGATTAGAGAAAAAAGAGCTAGAAGAACTTCAGATTATTATTGCCTTTACAAAAACTAAAAAGTAAACACTAAAATTTGAGCTTAGAATTAAAAGAATGTCAGATTAATTTTGCTATTACAAAAAGGATAATAAACATTACAGTTTAACAGAGACAATCAAAAAGTCTTTATTGGGATCTCATTGTCCATTTCAACCACTTTGATTTGAAATAATTGAGTTGTTTTTAGTGTTTTCACATCACGTATTCTGACCAGTTGGTTTTAAAACTATTCGTTGACATCAGATTTAAAAAATGGTCATGCAATTGTCTGTATTGTAAATAGACATTAAAAAATCTACAGATCCCTCTACAGTTTTTTTTTGATCAGTTTTGCTAAAACTGATCATAAATTTGCTGTCACGAAAACATTATTTTAGTGCAGCAAGCATACTACTCTTTTAGTTTTAAGCCCCGCTTTTAAACTTCAATGTACCAAACCGCCCTTATGCAAAAAAGTTTTTTCTTCGCGTTAGCAATAAAGTTTCTACGCATTCATTTTGACAGTTTTGAAGATGCAGCTTCTCATAACACAGTTCGATGTTCGAAAGTTGGTTTCAGCAGATCTAATTTTTTCATCAGTTCAATCATTCTAAAAAAATCCAAAATCAAAACAGTTTCATAACTTTTAACGATTATTGGGTATATTTTAACATAGTCAAGACATTGGATCATTGGATGTCTGGATTTGCACAGAGCTTGATAACAGTGGCTCTTGTAACTGCTTTGTCTCTGCAAAGGTTAAGTTTTTGGATTTTTATCTTCTCGCAGAGCAACCGCAGTATTTTGAAGAAAGTTATTGAAATTTTTTCTAAATGTACTAAACATACCGATAAATTTTTGGGCTATGAAGTCAATGATCTTGTTAGATATTTAGAAGAGAATTGATGTCTCGTCGAATGGTCTGCCTGATTGAAGATGAGTTTTTCATTAGGATTGTTTCAAAATATTTTTGCTTTGGAATAGGTTTTTGTATGCTGAATTTGAAAAATGCTATTTTGGCCTTCATTTTTTCAGCTATCAAAATGCGTTTGCGTTAGACAACCAATAATTTCTTCTTTTTTACAAACTAATGTTTAAAGTTAGATGTTTTGGATGTTGCAATGTGGTTTGATAAGATTTTGCCTAGAAAGATTGTTTTAATTTGCTCTCCCTGTTCAATTTTCCTCGTTTCTTGTTGAATTTATAAAATACTATCATTTTTTCTCATTATTTTAATTTTTTTCTGTCTCATGCAGGGAAACAGTTCACTTTAAGAATAATTAGGGATCTGTTATCCGAATATTTGTGTGACCTTCTGCGAGAACTGGACTAATTCGAATCTTAAATGAAAGAAAAAGTTGTCGTTTTGCTGAACAGTTTTGAGTCTCCAGTACAAGGCAACTGAAATAAAACAATTTTTTCCCAAGTGTGTTTGCTTTTGATTTCTAATGAACTATTCCGTGCATGCAACGGAAATGTTTTCTCATGAAATTGGTTAATTGGTTGAAGAAACAATCGCAGATGGGACACCGAAACCACATGAAGATATCATTTCAAATTAATTTGAATGGTTGAATGAAATGACTATTGAATCTTAGCGAGTTGACTCTACTGTCAGGTTTTCAGATACCCTGTCTGTTGAGCCAACTCGAATAAATGTTCTCGTTCTTGGACGTCAAAATGGTAAAAGAACATGTTGCGCTCATCGTGTTGTGTTTTTCTGTTGCGTTCAATATATTGTGTTTTCCTCGAAAATGGTCAAGTCGTATATATCAACTCCACAAAAAAATATCTGATCATAATCAGAATTTGTTAGAAATGCTGATTAAGACAACAAAAATCAACGAAACCGCGCATCCTCTGTAAATGAATAATACTTATGCGCATATAAATTACAAGAATATTCTTCAGGAAACTGTTAAAGCTCGAAGAAAAAAATTTGAATAACATGATGTCGAGTTTCGAGTGAGAGTCTCAATAATCATTTTTTGCAGACTCAAGAATCATAGAGAATTAATTGAACGTAACATGATCAATTCATTTAATTTTCCTAAAAAAGCTTTTTTAATTGTAATCCCTTACAACATTATAGATTTTGAGAAAACAGCTCAACCATAAAGCACTCCTAGTACTTTATACAATCTTTTTTGTGTCAAATTCAAATCTTCAGAAATCTCTTTTGATACTAGTTCTAAAATAAATTTCAGTTTTTCATTTAAAGGAAAACGGAGGCAGTTAAATAGAGGAGGCGAACAAATTTATGAACAAAAACTTATACAGAAGGCAGTAACTTTGCAAGTAACATGGGTCCCTATATTTCTCAATTTCTCTTGCTCAATTGAACGAACCATAGTAAAACCCCAAAAACTCAACACAGAAACACTCAACGAAAGTTTGAAGACAAACCAAGAAAAATTTCGAAGATTGAAGCTTCAGCGCTACTAGAACCACCAAAAAACAATACAGGTTTAACCTGAAGAGCAGAACCGATGCCTAACTTTAAACAAATTTTCGTGCATATTCGTAAGTTCCATTTCGAATGCGCTGGCTCTAGAACAACTTTGCGTGTCCACGAACAACTGATTGGCATCATTGTTTCTTTGCGATGCTCGTAGAAAAGAACACAGGATAGTGATCACTGAGATTACAATCACCAGCGAAAATATTGATTAAGCTCAATCTTGGCGAATACAGAACTTGATCCAGTGTGTGTCCAGAGCGATGGGTGGGAAAAGACAACATTTTTTTCAACTCCCGCCTCCAGCATGGCATCAAGGAACTACGCTGTTTTATGGTCAAGAGCATTGTTGAATCAGTGTTAAAATGACCAAGAATAATATTGGTTCGAAAACAAGGCGATACTGCGGTACTAGATTGTACATCCACCAAGTAAACGCATGGTTGAAGCAAGACGAGCCAAATTTGATATCTTAACCAAATCTAAAATTAAATGAGGGTTTTAGCTCTGCGAATGAAAGTATTTCCGTTTGATCACTCTGTATCGCTTTGTAAATCCACCAAGATTTTAAAATTTTCAAATTAATCTGTTGTTAAGTAATTCTGATTAGATTATTAACAAATTATTGTCAAAAAACGATAGTTAGTAAAACATAGTCAATGAGCACACAATTGAATAAGCAAGGTTGACGATTTGGCGCTTAGGCTACGCAGTAAGAGGCAGTAACTTTGCAACCAAAATGGGTCAACTTAAATTTCTCAATTTTTGTTAATGAATTGAACTAATTGTAGGAAAACCTCCAAAAAACTAACACAGAAGCACTCAAGGAAAGTTTGAAGAAGAACTAAGAAAAAGTGCAACAAATGAAGCTTTCCTACTATTAGCAAAACCAAAGACAATACAGATTCAACCGAGCCGATGCTTAAATCTAATCAAATTTTTGTGCATAGTAAATAGCTTCTCTTTTAAAAATACATGTCTAATCAGACTGCTCGTATGCTTGGTTGTTCCAATTGCCCTTTTACGTCTCTTGGATAGTTTTTTTATAGAAAGATTGTTCTGAACAATTTCCAAAGTTTGTTGAAAACTTTTTATTTTTTGTCGTTTTACCCTGCAAAAACTTTGTGATAAAAGTGATGTTTTATTGAGGTAATGATCATTTTTGCTGAATTAAAAACTTAAATTGTTTTATTTTTGCAAAGTTAATCTCGTGCAGGGGAAATAATTTTCTTATAAACTTTTGTTTGCTTTAAAATGTCTTGTGAGCAGAAAAATTTTGCTGCACAACTAAGCAATACTAGACAATTCGAAATTGTGCGAAGTTTTTTAAGTTATTTTTAGAAAAAAAATAAATCCGCAAAATTGGCGTTTTTCTAATTACTAAAACTTTCAAAAAATTATTTCAAGTTAAGAAGTGAATTTTTACAACCGCTTTCTTTAGGGTTTAAACTCTTTTTACTGAGAATGAGGCTCACTTTTTTCGATACCCATCTCTATACCCAAAAAGCTGGGATCCCAACTTTCGATACCCAAAAAAATCTTTCAAGTTAAG